CCTAAAAGCTTTGGATCTATGTTTTCTCTAATTATACATGCAATATTGTTTCCAAAGCTTTAAGCCTAAAACTAGCATACAAATGATATAAACAACATAAAATACTAGTTAGGAGTTTACCTCTTTATGTGGCTTGTAGAACTTGTTGTATTTGGCCTTTAAGAACTTAGCACCAATAGTATGAATGCCTCAAATGGTTCACAACACATCTAGGACAAAGGATGACATTTTGAGAGAGAATCTTGAACCCAAAATCGTCCATGAACTCCAAGAACTAGTAGAAACCGATTTTGGCTATGGAGTCACATATTTATATGTAGGATTCCAAGGGTCATGGGTTAACCCTAATCCATACCCATGGGTTTATGATCCATGGTTCATGTGGCCCAACTGTTTATGTATCCATACATAAACTTAGTCCGACATGGATCAATGGCCCAGCACGTATAAATATAACTAATTTACACAATTAGTCCCCATTGATTTAATTAGTCTCTTTTGATCACTAAATTAATTTCAAACCAATTCTTGATCAATACTAATTAAATCATATGATTTAATATTAATATATTAGAACTTATAATATATTAATAAATCATAAATAACCTCTTCTCAAAAGTCCATCCTAACAAATTGTCCTGATGATATGCAACCCAAATGGACCATGCTACACTCGGGTCAAGTACATACCAATTATAGTTATGGGCTTAGACACCTAATCCAACGGTCTCCCACTTGGATAAGTCTAATAACTATTATTGCAAGTACGACTCCACAACCCGACTAGCAATCGTAGCTCTTAAAAGCCGCTGTCGAACTCTGATCTAGTCAATGACGCGTCCATTAGATAAGGGATCATATATTCCTCCATTCTACAAGATATTATATGGACTGAGACATGGATTATGATCATTCTCTCTGTCCATCTGTTGTTTCCCGATTTTCGATTTATGAAGACCGACTAATTGAACAAATCAAATCAGTCCAGGCTCGGCCGAGCGCTTAGGGTTGTCATCACTAAATCATCGAGGGGCCCACAAATATCGCTTTTATCCCTCCAAGGGTAAAAGGAATGGATGAACTTCGACTCAAATGCTTGCTTGTACTTACTCATCAAATCACAGACAATGATATGTTTTATAACACCAAGTTACTGGTGCGTTTACATATGTCAATGCGCAACCGACTTGTAAATTACAACTCACACGTCTTGGTTTCAAGAATATAAGATATTATCGTCTCACAATCACTCGTGCGTTTACATGGATCGATGGCCCAACACATATAAATATAACTAATTTACACAATTAGTCCCCATTGATTTAATTAGTCTCTTTTGATCACTAAATTAATTTCAAACCAATTCTTGATCAATACTAATTAAATCATATGATTTAATATTAATATATTAGAACTTATAATATATTAATAAATCATAAATAACCTCTTCTCAAAAGTCCATCCTAACAAATTGTCCTGATGATATGCAACCCAAATGGACCATGCTACACTCGGGTCAAGTACATACCAATTATAGTTATGGGCTTAGACACCTAATCCAACATATGTAACTTAACATATTCATTTACTAGTTAGTAAAAGACAACTAGAACTCCTAAAAGCAAAAAGCAAGCAACATTCGAGCATTGAGTAAACATAATCAAACATATACTAATCAGGCCATCATACTGACTAATTTGTACTAGTATGCAGTTCATAAAGCTGATACACATATAACAGGCACATAAGGCATCCTTCCTAGATCCTTTGCCCTAATCTAGCATGCAGTTCTCATAAACATATCATAACATAAACTTGTATGGGTAATTTGGGAGTACATACTTGAGTTAGGCTGATTGCATGCACCACACCCTTTTCTCTTTTTCAAAGTTCTTTTCGCTTTTTCTAAAATTCTTTTCTTTTTTCTCAAAGTCCTTTTTATAAAAATGGTTTTTCTTTTGAACATTTCTATACCAATTGCTTAGTTTGAGTTCAGACACACCTGAAAGTGTGCCCGAATCCCTCAAACCAAGACTCCGATACCAACTTGTAACATCCCAAAAATATAGTCCAAAAATTTCATTTTTCAAATCATTAATTAAAACAGAATTACTAAAAATCATGTCTCCAAAATATAAATCACAATATCTTAAATGTCAAAACAGTATAACCATATCAATCAAATGTCAAATGAATCAGAGTAAAATATCCCAGGCTGAAAACTGTGGTGTGTGCCATGCAGTCATCTCGAGCTCTTCCCCTTGCTACCGGAAGTACCTGAAACCAAAAATGAAAACTGTAAGCACGAAGCTTAGTGAGTCTCCCCAAACTACCACATATCATACATATAAACACATAATAGCATACATTGGGCCTTGCCCAATACATCCGGCCCCGTCAGGCATCGGACGAATCTGGCATCGGGCCCCGCCCGACATCAGACCGAAGTCTGGTATACATATAACATAGCAACAGGAATATAACACATAAACATATAACATAAACATTAAAACATTTATCGGGCTTGTCCCGACATCGGACCGAAGTCCGGAACACATAACACATAACATATAAGCTAAACATTCCTCGGGCTTGCCCTGACATCGGACCGAAGTCCGGAACACATAAACAAATACATGCAAGAATCACGAAGACATCAAGCATACAAACATTCCCCGGGCTTGCCCCGACATCGGACCGAAGTCCGAAACACATAAACAAAAACATGCAAGAATCACGAAGACATCAAGCATACAAACATTCCACGGGCTTCCCCGACATCAGACCGAAATCCGAAACATATAAGCTACATCAGGCTAACCCCGACATCGGACCTAAGTCCGAGTCCGACATATGCTAACATGCATAAACGGGCCAGCATTGGTACCTTCGACCCGTTCCTACTAGAGGAAAACTCACCTCTCAAGCTGGCTGCTGAAATCTCAAGTGAGGAATCTTTGATGGCTGCTCCAACGACTCCCCAACTATAAATTCACAAGGAACACTTAGTCAAAAACTAAAAAATCCTTCTAAGGGTAAAATGACTATTTTACCCCTGGTCAAAGTCAACATTCTCGTCAAAGTCAACGTTTTGGGTTGACCCGGCTCACCGAGTTGCTCCATCAACTCACCGAGTCCTAAAACCCGGAAATTGCGATCTAACTCGTCGAGTCACCCCTTGACTCGCCGAGTTACCTGACAACTAATGGTCGCGATTTGGCGAATCAACTCGTCGAGTTACCCTCAGACTCGACGAGTTCTACCATCACAGAAAACGGGGCAACACGACTCAACTCGTCGAGTTCCTCTATCGAATCGACGAGTTCCTCTGTCTGTTTAGGCCATCTTAATGGATTAAGCCTCTACTCTTTAGATCCAAACACCATAACTCCTATAAGTATGTAAATGCCTTCTTAAGGGTAAAGTTTCAAACTTTACCCGCTTATAGTTCTTCTTAATGGGTTCAGCTCAAACCCTAGTTCTTTAGGACATAGATCTCTGTCCAAAAGCCTTATTACTCCAACCCAGAGCATGAAAACCCAGATCTAGGTCCTAAACACCCAATGAACACGTAAAGTCTCAGACTTTACTTCCATGCATGGCCCTTTTGGGCTTAAAAAGGCCATAAAAACGTCCTTAAGCTTGCATGGGGCTTACATGGTCATAAAGTTTGCACCTTTATGCCATGAAACCCCTTCTAGATCCCAGATCTTAAAGGTAATCCACTTGGGACGTCCATGTCCAAAGGACCAAGGTTCTTGAACCAAAACCTCCCCATAAATGGACATAAGAAGATCTAATGAACTAAAAGCCAAGATGGAGACTTGATTACCAGAAAATGATGAGGATGGAGGAAGTTTCTGGATCTAATATCTTCTCGTTGAGCCTTCTAACTCCTTATTCTTCTTCAAGCTTCAAGAACACACAAGATTACTCACAAATGGCTCACACACACAAAATGCTTTAGGGTTTCGTGGATTAGGGTTTGGGACTTGGAGGCTGGAAATGAGGCCATAAGGTGGGGATTATGTTGCTTAAATAGGGTGAAAAACCCCAAAATTAGGGTTTCATTCTGGCAGGCCTACTCGCCGAGTTGAGGGCTCTCAACTCGTCGAGTGGATGACTTAAAACCCGCGTCCAATTTCGCTTCTACTCGATGAGTCCGGGGCTCCCAATTCGTCGAGTAGCTCTATAAAAATAAACAAATTACAATTAAATGCGTACCAGGAATGAGGCGTTACATCTTTCTTCATCTGAGGGAGCAACCGACGCCGAAGTGTGACAAGCAACCATACAAGCTACGCCCCTGGACGAGCCTAGAGAACCTAAAGACTTGGTTTCGACGAACCAGCTTCACTCTGTTTGTCATACCAAATCTACAAACTTCCATGTTACTGATAAGGTGGCCGAGGAGCCTTTCGACGAACCAGCTTCCTCACTTCACGACTGCCCTGTCTAAAATGACCCTGACTTGGTATCAACTATCGAGGCTTTATTTTGTCCTTCACCAAACCTTACTTCACCTCCTGTTTCAAGTAGCGCTCCAGCTACAAATGTTGTGGTGACAAGCCGTGTGCCGATCCCTAAGGTTTCGGGAACCTAAGTTCGATCAATGATGTCCTTGCTAAGGAAAGGCGCTAGCCAGCATGTCTTTTAGGAGAAGTTGTTTGGGTCCAATGTTGCAACCATAAATTCCTCAACCGCTACCCATGTCATCGAAATGAATCCTATATCCACTGCTTCTATCATAACTGCCACTGATATTATCGACGTGAGTGAGCTGATAATGTCTTCCGAAAGAGTAACTCCTAACACGATAGTTGATGGTGCCCTGATGATCGGGGTCGTATCCGACAACTTTTCGGTTCAAAAATTTGTTAAAATATCCTTCCTTATCTTTACACATAACTACTATTTCCCCCTTGTTTCTTACTCATTATGTTGCTTTCCTGAATTTCAAATTTTCCTCTACCAAAGAAGCAGTCTCCCCCACTTCCTTGATGTCTTTGGCTTCTTCCATCCCATCTTTTTTGTATCCTTTTACCACCACCTCCTTTTCCAATAAGCCTACTCTTGGAAATATGAACGATGAGGAGGGGATGGATAAATCCTGGACTCACATCCTTGAAGGCCTTCACTGGATGAATGAAGTGTCTTTACGCAACAAGGCTCGTGCGACGGATATAACTGCAAGAGGCATGGAATTCGACAAACCGTCTGATTGTATAGCCAAGCTTCGATCCATTTATTCGGTTCTGGAGAGAGAGAAAATAGAACTAATGTAGTAGAACATTTACCTAACCTCCTCTACCAAACAAATGTCACTAGACTTGGTTGAATCCATGCACGTTGAAGAAGAGCTTTGTCATCTAAATCAAGACTTGCAACTTAAACTTGATGAAGCGAATGCTCGTAATGCCTCTTCGGCCAAGGATCAAGAGGAGGTGACTCAACAGCTTGCCGGTCTAAAGACATTTTTCTCAGAAAAGGTATTTGCTCTGGATATTTCTTGTTCAGAAAAGGAATTCTGTGCGAAACAACTGGAAGACGAGGTAATCAATATGCAATCATCTATAAGGGAAAAAGACACTCGAGTTAATGAATTGGAGATTCATAATGCATCAGCCAAACAATATGTCATGTTCCATTAACAAATTTTCGAACAACATTCACTTGACCTGAAATGGACGTTGAAGCAGGGAATACCTTTGTTCGTTCGGGCTCTTCTCAACTCAGAGGAGTTTGGCCATGCCAACTCTTTTCTACAAGAGCTACCATACAACTTGGCCAACATCAGGCATGTATTGAAATAGGATCCTGATATCCAAACCTAATGGTTCGTCTCGAGTTTCCCTTCTATTTTCTGAACGTTACTGAATTAGTTCTCTAATGGTTCACCAAACTCACTAATTTTGATTTTGCCTTGTTAAAAATGCTCGAAGGGGATAGGGTAGATGCAATCTTATTGAAGAAGTAATCGGAGGAAATGGATTCTTCTAACACTGGATCAGACAATTAGCTTTGTATTTTCACTTTCCTCATGTTTTTTGTAATCGTAATGTTTTATCTGTAATGTCACTTCTTCCTCCATTGGAAAATTTTTTTGTATTAAATTTGAGCTTTCGATATTTGGTATTGTGAGATAACTGTAACCCCCCGATTTTCAGGTACCAACTTTAAAAGCTTTATTTGCATTATGAAGGGCCTACTCGACGAGTTGATGTTATGACTCGTCGAGTAGAAACGTTTTTGGCCGCCCCATTTATGTGACCAACTCAACGAGTCGGTGGACGCGACTCGACGAGTTGGAGCTGGGGGATGAAACCCTAATTTCCAGGGCCTAGCACCCTATTTAAAGGATAATTAGCCTCCTTTGGCCTCCCCTTACCACCCCCTTGAGCTCTAAAACCCTAATTCGAGTGTACTCTCCATTTTGTGTGATTTTCAAGCTCGGAAGGTGAATTGGAAGACGAAGGCTTGAAGTATAAGTGGATTGAAGCATAAAGGAGTTGGTGGATATGACTCTTCTGCTTATTGGCATCATTTTGGAGGTAACAAGTTGTTACCTTGGCCTTCCTCTTTCTAGATCTCTTCATGTTTAAGATTAGGGCTTTTTCTAGCATGAATGTGAACCATTTTCGGGTTGGGATAGGATCTGAAGTTGCAACTTTAGATCTGAGCTTATATTGGTCTCTATAGCTATAAGGTTTCCAGCTTTAGCAAGTAGGAACCATCCCCTTTGAGTTAAACCCCATTTTAAGCTTGGATTTGGGATTCTAAGCCTTTAAGACCTTGCATGCACGTAAAGTTTGCAACTTTACATGATAAACATGCCTTAGGAAGCTAGATCTGCCATTTGGAGCTTTGGGGTGGCTTAAAATCGTCCGAATAAGTAATGGACTGAAGGGACTCGACGAGTTGCATGGTCAACTCGACGAGTCGGATGAAGATTGCCTGAGGATGGTTTCTACATAGACTCGGTGAGTCTGGAAGACGACTCGACGAGTCAGATGGGGTTTTCCCGACATTTAGATACGCTTGGACTCGGCGAGTTGCCTGAAAACTCGACGAGTCGACTAGGGTTTTATGACTCTGTGAGTTCTGGAGGAATTCGACGAGTCAGTATTGTACTCGTCGAGTTGGGTCAACATGGATTGTTGACCTTGACCGATTGACTTTGACTTTGACCAAGGGTTGACCAGTTGACTTCTGAGGGTATTTTGGTAAATTGGGAATTTATGGAAAGGGTCATATGGCAATTATAGGTGGTGGTGTACGTGGCTGTGATTCGAGAGTTTGAGCTTATCGCTTCAGCACGACATTTGTGAGGTGAGTTGTTCTCACTATACTAAGGGGTCTTAGGCACCAAGGCCGGCCCATATGATTTGATATCCTAGTATTTATTGACATGTTGAGTATGTGTTAGCAATGCATGCTTGTTGTTATGCTAGAGGGTAGATCTGTAGGACTACCTGTGTTACTACTCGATTATCTATATTTGCATTAGTTCTGTTATATGTCGACATATTATGAGGTGGGTTGGGTTGAGGTTATACTGCTCCGTGCGGTAGCCAACAAACCATAAAGTATTCCAGATATGAGCTGAGGGCTGTGTGGGGCATACCATACTCATACTGAGGACTGGGAGCATTCCAGATACGAGCTGAGGGCCGGGTAGGGCATGCCAGACTCGTACTGTGGGCTCGGTGGCAATCCAGATGTGAGCTGTTGGTCCGGAAGGCAATCCAGACTCACATTGTGGGCCCAAGGGTAATCCAGTCTGTAAAGCTGTGGACCCAGTACATGCTGTTATTTTTATATCTGTTATTTGTAGTGTATCGGTATTTTGGGGAAACTCACTAAGCTTCGGGCTTACAGTTTTTGTTTTGGTTTCAGGTATATTAGATGATCGCGAGAAGGCAAAGGCGTGATCATACAACTCCTCACATTTATGACTTTTTTTTCTGGGATACTTTGATATTATACTATTTTGAAAACAAGTTTTGTAAGGATTAATGGTTTTGAAATGTTTTTAAAAGTTTAAAATTGACATGATTTTTATGGGTGTTACAAGTTGGTATCAGAGCCTTGGTTTGAGTGAATTGGAGGAACACTTGTGTGAATCCAGTCTCAAACTAAGGAAAAAATTTTCAAAAAAGTTTTCAAAATATTAAAGGAGGATGCAGGGTGTACGATCAGCTGGAGCCAGTAAGTAGACCCCAAAATACCATACAGTTATTTGATATTGTGATATGTTAGAACAACATGCTAGTACTAGGCTAGGGATCTTCAGGAATAACATGATAGAATTGCCTGATTATATGATGCCTGCTAGCCTAGGGATTTCTTTATATGAAATTGACATCATTAGTGTAGTTGCTTAGTGTATGCATCATGACGGTACATAATTAAGATCTTATAGCCTGAGAATATTTGGTTTAGCTTTATTTCCTGTTCCTTGTTTGGTTGTGGTCTTAGAGTAGGACCGATTATTCGAATGTCTATAGGGTCCAGCGTTATGTATGGCTAGCATACACGAGTGCTGCAGGGTTGGTGGAAGTTTCATGGGTGGGTTGTGAGAGGCTAGGATGCCAGTTATAAGATATTTAGCATTCCTCTAAGAGTGAGGATTGAGCACCCGCTATGATTATGTATATTGTTAGGGTGTTGTGATGATACTTGAGTCAACTATGGGTAGGTGTGGAAGGTAGTATGGGCCTGTACTACTGAAAACACATGACCCATACGCGTAGCAAGGAAATCACAACCCCTAGGGTTTAGTTGGGAGTTGGTTCCCTGTTATTTATGCGGATTATCTGATATCTTCCTGGTATATTTTCAGCATGGTGGTTACGAGGCGCTTTGTGACTGGATCCGGATCAGGATCAGGATCAGGAGAGGGCGGTCAGGAGGGACCGACAACGTCCGAGGTTGTTGGACAGATAAGGACGGATGAGCTAGACATCAGGATTCGAGAGATCCTACATTACGAGGTTGCTACTTTGTTCCGGGCACAGTTGTCGGAGATGTTTGGGTCTTTTAAGACCGCCATGGTTGAGTATTTCGACGAGCGCTATGCAGCCCTTGCAGAGATGGCTGTCGCAGCAGCTGCATCAGCTGTATCAGCGGCAGGGGGAGGAGCCAGTCGGGCTTTTCAGTACAGGGACTTCGATAACACGAAGCCCCTACTTTTGATGGGACTCAGGACCCCATCAAATCCATGAGGTGGGTTTATGATGTGGAGGGGTGTTTCTTTACTTGCTCGTGTCCTACTAACCAGAAGGTCAGATGTGCCCTGAACCTGTTGAGGTCTGGGGCCAAGGACTGGTGGAGATTGACGACGAGGTCGTACACTGATGATCAGAGAGCGGCTGTTACTTGGGAGCAGTTCAGGGATATGTTCCACGCTCGTTACATTCCACGGGTTGAGCGGGAACGATTGGCTCAGGAGTTTTTGGGATTGAGACAAGATGGGGAGTCAGTAACGGAGATCACCCGCATGTTCATAGAGAGGGCGATGTTTTGCCCAGAGTTTGCTTACGAGCAGACTCAAATGACACGTTATCTGAGCATGTTCAAGACTGACATTCGTCAGTTTGTGTCTACCCAGCGATGTGATACTCTACTGGAGTTGCAGAAGGCCACCAGGCGGCGTGAGTTGGAGATTGAGCTATAGTTGAGGGAGCAGCGGCAGGCCCCGACACAATCACAGTCGGCGCCGAAGCGGTCTAAGACCGCTGATTCTAGGACCGGGAGTCAGCAGAGCCGCGCTTGTGGAAAGTGCGGAAAGGGCCATTCTGGGGTTTGTCGAGCTAATAGTGGGTGCCACAGATGTGGCAAGACGGGCATTATGCAAAGGACTGTCGCCAGCCCGCCTCGGTTCTGAGTATGAGATTGTTTTATCATTGTGATCAGGTTGGCCACTTGAAGGCCAACTGTTCGTTACTTGCCGCCAAGCCGGCGTAGGCTCCCGCGCCAGCTACACTGAGGATTACGGACGGGAGACCAAGTAGAGCAGATCCCCCGAGGGCTCAGGGACGCGCCTTCCAGCTTACAGCAGAGGAGGCCAGAGCAGCACCGGATGTGGTTTCTGGTATGTTTCTATCCTTTATCTTTCTGTTTATGTATATCTTATGCTTATATGTTTGTACCTGTGATTAGATACGTTTTTAGTAAACTCCTTACATGCTTTGGTATTATTTGACTCGGGGGCGAGTCGGTCGTTTGTTTCTCAAACATTTAGTAGGGAGTTGGGTTTACCAGTAGGCGAGCTAGAGTGTCCGTT